CAACGCTTTATTTTAGTTGTCTAAATTGTTTTCTGAATCTTTCTGTCTTACGAACATCACTTCGTAAATACCTACGAATATTATTCTTGTTATTATTACACTTAGGAAGTCACAACAGTCGTTATTACACTAATTTAAGATCAATTTATCGACGTTGAGTACACAATGTCACAATGTTTACAGACGACGGTCACCTGGTGGGCGATACACCTTTCACCATCTCACGGTCGCCGGAATAATACATTCATATTCTCGTTCTTTTTCCGTCAATATACAAAAAAATCATAATAAAGTATTTATATAATTACCACAAATTATGAAGTAAGTCAAATTTAATACGCGTATAATAAGTAAATAATGAGGAAGAAGAAAAATATTCCTTTTAATGATTACGTCGGATCACTAGGCGTACCAACCTAACATATTCCTTCTGATGATCATTGTGTTTTGAGTTACTCTTCCACACTAACTCACCTTCTACGTAACTTACACATGTATGTGTAAGTATAAATAAATGTTTGCATATATAAATCACAAACAAGAATAATATCAACGGTACTGATGATCAATTATCACTATCATCGGATGATTAGGTTACCAGCCCTGACCCTTGACCCCCTCTGTGCTGCTCCTAAACGAAGCGATATATCACCCATAATATGATAAGAACTGACACACTCGGGTAATACTTGTTATTCTTTTGGAAATATAATATAGTACTCCACAATATTACCAGCGCTAAAGATCCACGGCATATGTAAGAACCAAAAATACGAGCTAACAGCATTACCTTACGTGTGTCTCACCGTAACACCTTTCCCTCACTTGTGTCTCACCGTAACACCTTCCTCTCACTTGTGTCTCACCATAACACCTTTCCCTCACTTGTGTCTCACCGTAACACCTTCCTCTCACTTGTGTCTCACCGTAACACCTTCCTCTCACTTGTGTCTCACCGTAACACCTTTCCCTCACTTGTGTCTTACCATAACAACGTTCCCTCACTTGTGTCTTACCATAACAACGTTCCCTCACTTGTTTCTCACCACTCCAGTCATCTTTTACTTTACAAACACTTAGTTATTTTCCTTCACACGACAAACAACATTGAAGACCCTTTAACTTGATATAACTTTTATATACGAGTTGGATAAATTAATTCCGGTGTGTGTGTGTGTGTGTGCGTGTGTGTGTGTGTGTATGTGTGTGTGTGTGTGTGTGTGTGTGTGTGTGTGTGTGTGTGTATGTCTTTCCATGGCCGCAAAAATACAAAAACAAATCACACACACACACACACACACACACACACACACACTCACACGCACTCACACGCACTCTATCATCACATATTTATGATCACCAAACACACATTCAAGTATTTGTTACACATTAAAACTCATATTTACCCTTGAAGGTAAATATTGAGGGATGAAACATGGGGAAGTGTGTCATATTTAACGTGTTGTGTTGTGTTGCGTTGTGTTGTGTTGTGTTGTGTTGTGTTGTGTTGTGTTGTATTGTGTTGTGTTGTGTTGTGTTGTAGTAGTAGTAGCAGCAGCAGTAGGCTAAAAAATTATACAATATAATCAATTCAGTTCTTTATTGAGTGTAAAATCAACTTCATCTTTTACTAATCAAAACAAAAACTAAAGTAATTTTCTCTCAACACTTATAACTGACTTAAGACAACTTTACCCTTGAAGGTCTTACTTTATATGTACTACATGTATTATAAGTATGTACTGCACCATTCATATCCAAGATTGATCAATGTTGAAGATTTATTATGATTATCAGTGTCTCTATTTCCTTTATCTTTGTGAAGGACACAGGTAGACCGCACAGGTGGACCACACGGTGTTGCTCTACTCGCTAGGTCAAAATATGGATCAATGTACTGGTCCACTTGGTGAGTTAACTGGTCCACTTGGTGAGTTAACTGGTCCACTTGGTGAGTTAACTGGTCCACTTGGTGAGTTAACTGGTCCACTTGGTGAGTTAACTGGTCCACTTGGTGAGTTAACTGGTCCACTTGGTGAGTTAACTGGTCCACTTGGTGAGTTAACTGATCCACTTGGTGAGTTAACTGGTCCACTTGGTGAGTTAACTGATCCACTTGGTGACTCTTTTGGTCCACCTGGTGACTTAACTACTGGTGCGTCTTAGGGGAGATTGGTGCCTTAGACCCACTATCCTTGAACCACTTTTTCCACCCTTTGCGATAAGCAGTGTTTGGTGGTGCTCCAGTAGTCACCGCCTTACCTGCTGCTTTGCCACTGTTTTGGTTCCACTTGTTCCACTCCTCCTGTCGGGTGTTTGGTGGTGCTCCAGTAGTCACCACCTTACCTGCAGCTTCACCACTGTTTTGGTTCCACTTGTTCCACTCCTCCTGTCGGGTGTTTGGTGGTGCTCCAGAGGCCGCTGTTCCACTTGCAGCTTCACCACGAGAGGGTGGCTGTGTGTGGCAGTGAGCCGGGGGATGATCTCGTCTCTGACTCAT